ATCTGCGTATCCGCAACCGCATCCTGTCGCCATTCACTGACTACGTGCTTCGCATTTGGCATGCAGGAGGCGTTATCCTTGGCTTCTAGCAGGTCCGGCTCGTGCTTGCTGTCTATCAATACGTAACTATTTCACGGACACGCTTCGATGGCTCTAATTAATGTTTAAATTTCGAATTTAAGTATTCAGTGGCTTTAGCGGCCGTTTGGCTGCTGCATAGAAAGAAACTAAGGCAAAACGCTGTATAAAATGATTTTGTTGTCTGACACAAATTTCTTTAGATTCAAAATATTTGTCTAAAGACCAAGGTGGGTACATCCATATTGAATATAGCTTGGAAACCTACATTTCATATCTTAAAAATAATCTTAAGTATAAAGAAATTAATGCTAAAGTGAGGCAGAAAAAATATTTGAGAAAATATTACTAATTATCTATAACAAAAATACAATAAAAATGATTCAATATTAAACGCTTTCTGGAATAGCTACAATTTCTAAAGTTGGATCCTTAGAAGATTTCAATTTTAGAAACTCAAAATATATACTCTCTGACTTGTTGCATTGATTTGCAGAAAACCATCATATCCCTTTTCAATGACTTCAGTATAAACTTTTTCTCGCCAACATTCAGATATGCTATAAATGCCATTTTTATTATTTCAGATATGTAAATATACATCAAATTGTGGCATAGCTTGCAGCCGACTCGTTTTTGTCCTGACCAAACAATTAATTTTAACTAGCTGATTTCAACCGCACGAAAAAATTCGGTCTTGAAAATGATTTGTATGCGTTTTTGGCTCGTCTGAGTATTTGTCAAATCAATAGAAAACTCATAGCTTGTTAGCTGAGCGTCTGCTCTTAGCTTGAAACCCAAACAAAAACATACAACCACAGTCTTATTCTGAAATATATACATATACATTTATATATATATCTTTCATATTATATTTAATTTTTGGAGGAGGTGGGACGCCAATGTCAAAAGGAAACGATATCAAGTGCTTCAATCAAGTCAAACTTGCAATATAAATTCAAATTCAAACATTTTCAATTCAATGCATTTTTGCGGTTGTTGCCAGTCAAGCGTGGGCAATGCTATGAATATTCCTGAAATTCCGATCCATTTATACAAACATGCACCACTATGAAGTATCCTTTCTACTCCGTCTCTCTCTCTCTCCCTCTCTCTTTCTCAATGTCTTTCTTTCTCTCTCGCCCTCCCTTTCGCTCACCGCCAAATTGCAGCGTTTCAATCAAATGTTGCTCCAGACGGACTTACCTTTTCCATTGCGTCGATTTTTGTTGTTGTTATTGTAACATTTACGTAGCACGTAAATTGCAATTCTGAGGCAGACATTTTCCGGGAGTGTGGGGCGGAATGGCAAAAGAACTGCCGGAAAAGCAGCCAACAAGCCAAATCCTAGTCGCGGTCAACAGCAATAAATTGGATTGCGGTTTGGGGCTGCCCGCATTGCCTACCCCGCAAGAAAACAAATTTATTATTATACGTTTTGACTGCAGACAATTACAATGCAGTTAATTTAATTGTGTTTAATCTGCGATGCACTGCAAACACATTATTTCAAGTAGTTTGCCAGACTATAAATTGAGCAATCTGCAGCAACATCTGATTATTATTTTTTATGAAAGTTGCTCTTGTTTTATGAAGCATTCTCAGAGCTGACATTTGACTGCGAATCTATTATTAAAATTATTTATGAATATCAATCTGTCTCTTAAATAGCGGAATTTTTCAGATATTAGTCATAGCTACTCATTGTCGGTCAGGTTTTGTCTGATTGTTAAGATCATTTTAAATTCAACTAAATGAACATAAGGCCTATATTTGTAGAATATTATTTAATTTCACATAATAAAATACCAGACAATACATTAAAATTGTATGCCTACAGCCCCTTTTGGGCTTTTAATACTAAGTTTGTCACAAATTTTGCAAGTGTTATTCAAACAATAAAATTTTAAGTATATAAACTGTATTATCTGCTAATGATTCCAATGGTTGGCATGCCAGTTTGTTATATAGTTGAGTTTGAAACGAAACAATTTTAAAAATTCCAAAAAAATGTAATGTAGTTACTGTAGTTAAAACTGAAGAATCGATGAGTATTTATAGTTAATATTTTATTTTATATAATCAGCGCAAAAACTCAACTCAATCAATGAAATGCATTTGAACTTAAATACAACTCCTATGCTAGACTAATAATATATGCAGCAAAGCTCGGCACATAATCTTCTCGTAATTCTTCATTATCAATAGAAGGCAGCATATTCAAGTGTCTGCCCATTTCAACGCCCCATTTTGACCCCAACCGGAAAACCTTAACTTATTGCGTGCGTGTTTGACTGCCGAGCCCCTGCCCACGCCTGGATTCATTTCTCCTGCCGCTGCGCCGACTGCCACAACTTGAGTTAATTTAATAAATCTTGAACAACTGAATAAGCTTTAAATTAATGACCCTGTAAAGTTCATATAAATTATTACGTTATCTCGGGCGCTTGCTCGGCAACGCAGCGAAAGCGAAGCTCAGACCCTGCCCCCAGTTATCAGCTGCCAGTGCCCAGGGTCGCCCGGCCCACCCAAGTGGCAGCTGGCAGCACGGTGTCGACTGCCACGTGCTCCACATTATGCCAACATATGCCACACACGCCTGTATTCGAAATGATTTCTCATTTTCAATGCCAACACCAGGCTACAGCCAACCAAACATATTTTTCTGTCATTCTCGAAATCAAATTTGTATCAATTACAATTGCATTAACATATAATTTGTGCGCCTCTCGAATTTCACAGCAGCAGACGAAACCAGCTGCTGCCACCAAAACGACTATATAAATGGTTTCTAAAGAAACTCTAAGGAGCTTTAATACAAATAAGTAAAATAATCGAGCTGAGAGCCAGTTTACAAAGCTATATATTGTTAGCATAAAAAATTAAAAAATAAAATAAACAATTTAAGAATCTATTCAAAATTGAAAAACTGAAAAAACTGGCCAAAAATTTATTTAGCTATTAAATACATACTTATGTGCCAATTCAGCATAGTAAAATTATATGTCTTATCACACTTTCTGCAAGCCAAGTTCAAGTTGTGTCACCAGTTCATATATAATTGAGATTTTCAATCAGGGCTGGTATCATGAACTCGGGCCAGAATGCCAAAGCTTTAACAAATTAACAATTTTAACCTTAAGGGTATATGCCAAAACTTCGCACCAGCTGCGGCACAATATCAACAAAAGGGTCGAGCCATATGAAAGTGAGTGTGTGTCTTGGTATGTGTGTGTGTGCATGCGTGTGTGTATGCGTTCAACGTAGCTGGAAAGTCCCAAGTAGATTGCTAACCAAACAAGGGCTGCATAGTTGGCATTGTAGTTAGTTGCCGTCGTCTTGGCCTTGTTCTGGTCGAAAGCCAACTGTGGATCCCGATGATGATGACGACGATAATTTTGAAGTGAATGTCGTTGATGATGATGATGATGATGCTGCGACCCAATTTCCATATGCGCCAGCCGGCGGTTTTTGGCTTAACTAGCTAAACTTGTGAGAACTTTGCGTGCCAAGTTGGCATAACAGCAAGTCAAACAAACGAAAGCTAGCCCAAGACCACATACGGACATAACTATACAGCTAGAGCTACAGCTACAGCTACACCTACAGATCCAGATACCAGATCCCAAATCTGAGCCCTCAGCCAGCCAACCGACCATCCCGGTCCGCCCCTTGTGGTTACGGGCAAACAGACAAGAACTTGGCTACCGCAACTGGAGGCGGGCCAGGCACGCCAGCAGCTAATAATATTGAATAAAATTGAATTTGCGCCGTTAGATTGTTGTAAAATTATTAAACATGGCACTGGATTGTCCGGGGCTCTATCCGGCTTTTGGCAACAATTTTGCCAGCGGCCGTGCCAAGTTTACCCAGCCAGCATACATAATTCAATTAAATTCTTTGCCACAAAATTCTCTGCATTCGGAAATGGGGCAAATTGTAATAGTTTTGCAATTATGCGGCAATTGCAAATTCTCAGATTATGGTTTAGTTTTGAGTCTTCCGTTTTTCGTGCGGTCTGCCAATTGAAATTGTACAAAATAGTTGCATTGGCAAGAAGACACAAAGTTGCAAAAGACTTGTTTAAGATTAAGATAAGCTTAACTGAAGTAAGTGTATTTTCAGAGCAAAATCTCAACTCCTTTTATTATCAAGATGTTGTAGTAAAAGGTGTCAAAGCGCTAGGAAAGTTTCTTACTAAATATATATATTCAATATGATATTAACACTTTTTATACAGACCGAGATTATTTTAATTGGATCAAGAAATGTAATGAAATTTTTGGTAATTTTATGAATAATTTTATATAAATTTGCTTATATTAAACACTCAATGCTTTAATTCTTGGCAAATTAAAAAATATAAAAAAAAATTTATTGTATTCACAATCTACGTTAATACATATTTTTTAATTTTTGGCGATTTTAGAATTCTTTTAATGAATAAATATTTGAATATTTATTTAAATACTCACCATAATTAAATTGTGAGTTGAGGCATTCAAGTTATATTTCAAGAATGGGTTGCTTTTGGCCTGTAAGTAAAAAAAAAAAAGAAAAATAAAAAAATATTATATATCTTATGTAGAGAAGCTTTAAAGCATATTAGAAATCGTTGAGCTTACATACAGAAGAAAGAAGAACTAAAAAAGTCAAGTTTATAAAATCTATAATATATAATTTTATTATCAAAGTTTACTTTAAGCAAGGCTTAATACAAAGTAACAATAATTATTAAGTTTCAAAATTCTGTATACGTGATATTTGCACATTGGCGAATATTTGCACATTATGTTATCTTGCTTTCATTGCACTAATCGCCAACTATGCCATATATTAAATAATGTATCTATCTTTATTTCCCACAATTAACTCAGTTTCTTCTATAAAATTTGTTTTTTGTATGCAACTTTAAGCACAGCTGCGTTTGTGGAATTCTGTAGTTAGACAAAAGTTGCTAAGCTGCTTACTGAAAGCACCATTTAAATTGAATTTGCAAGTTTTGGTATTGGAGCTGGAGGTGGCCGAAGCAAGCCACAGGATTCGCCTCAATGTAAATATCCAGCTATAAATCCGCAAATCAAATGCAATCAATTCAAATTTCACACTTCAATATTCATTAGAAATTTATTTTGCATTTTACGACAGCAGCGCTGATGGAAACGGAGGCTCTCGATTCAGAAGCAGAAGCTCAGGATGTGCACAAGCCAATGCTTCGGGTGACGGTGACGAAGAGGGCGAGGGTGCCTGGCTGCCTGGCAAGGATCCAGCAAACGGTTTTGAAATATTCTCAATCCACAGCACAAACTGCACAAACGAACATAAAAAATGGCAAATTTTGCGCAAAATTAGCTGCCAATTGTTTTCAATACCGCCAACAACTTTGCGCTGATAAATTGCAAACGGAAATTGTGCAAAACCAAGCAAGAAATTTCAAATTGCTCGACAGCTGCAGCTGCAGCTGTAGCTGCAAGTTGCACAACTTTAATTTATCCCACAATTTATAACAATTAAAGACGCCTAAGCAGCAGCTGTGCAGACGGGCGGGCAACCAACTGCGACACACGCGGCGTATGCGCAATGAAAAACTCTGGCTAATGGCAAAAGGTGTGTGCATGTGTGTGTTTGTGTATTGTGCACATAACTTAATTATGCAGAAGTGTAAACGTTGCCAGCAGCATAGAACACATAGGGGTCTCCTTCCCTATCCCTCTCACTGTTCCAGTCGTCGACTCTCAGTCCTTCCCTCTCTGCAGCTGGCAGACAATGCGCCGCTTGAAGTCTTTTCATAAGCTCAAAGTTCATAATAGGATTTAGTTAGTGTAGCCCGTTGCTTCTCATCATGATGATGATGCATATGCTAGTCCAGACTCCGTTGTCGTTGTTGTTGTTGTTTTAGTTATTTTTTCATCATGGTTCGCACAGTGGAAAAGCTTTTGAAATTTGTACTCCAAGTGCGATGCAATTTTTAAACTACACTAGCTAAGAAGAGTTTTAAAAAATCGATAAATACGCAGAAAGAGTTTACTTTCGTACGTAATAAAGTTTGATAATATAAAAACCTCTAAATATTTATATGGGGTTATTTTTTTAATATTGTTTTTCATATTATCTATCTATGTCGATATTAGTCTTATTTGCTAAAACAGAAACTAAATACAACTTATATAGTGTTTTACAAATAATAAATATAAATTGAACCTGTATATATAATATACATAGAATATATTTAATAAAAATAAATACTATATAAATAAATATATATTAAATATATATATAAATAAATATTAATATTAGTTAATATAATAATTATTATGTTTTTTTATAGCTATCAACTTTTTATAAAATTCATATATGAAACACAAATATTCATATTAAATAGGAGCACCTTCATAATGACAAATTTAACACTAAGTTTGTTCTACTGTATCGCCTCGCCTGACTTGACTGAGTCCATACGCCACATGTCGTCCGTGAGTCCTGCTGCGGCTGTAAACCAACTGGTCCTGCTATTTGGAATTTGTTATTTTTTTCCGGTTTCTTCCTTTTAGTGCACTTGCTACTTTCGCTGACAGATAAATTATGCACGTAAGGCAGAGAAAAAAATGCAGGTCGAGCCAGCACTGAGCACTGGGCCAGCCTCTGCACCCTGCCCCGACGCTGGACTCTATGTGCCTGCATCTTATGATTCTTGTATGAAAATAATAGCTGACTAAATGTTAGCATGTGATAATGGAAATTTATGGGCCAAAGGCACGAAGCACACCAGAAACACACACGAAAAAAAAGGAATACCCCCAACCTAAATACAGGACATGCATATTTAAGCAGTCCTCTCAGAAAACCCAACCTCAATATCAGTCAAGTCAACGCCTCAGCTAAAATGAGGTTTTGCACTCCTCATTCGCATTCACATTTGGCCTGATATGAGAGCAATTTCGACGAACTGCCTTATATATTGATAAACATTAAAAGCCAATCAGCGTAATGGCTTGTGATGTGAAGTCTCTCTGCCCCCCCTCTGTTGCTCACAAACACACTCTCTCCCTCCCTCTCTCTTTCTCTCTTGGTTACACACTTCATTTTCAACAGCTCATAAAATTGCAATTGACTTTGAGCTGTACCGTATGAATGTGTGTGTGTGTGTGAGATGCATGTGTTTAGCTCTGTGTGTGCTCATTTCCTCTCCCCCTTAACCCCTTGCTACTCCTGTTTTGGTTTATAAAATGGCGCAGTCACATATGCGCTTAATTAACTGTATAAATTGATATTTGGTGCAAGTTTATGACTGCATTGCAGTCGTTCCCTGATTATGTCGAGTTAGCTGGATTATAAGCTTACACTCACTTATATTCTCCCTATATACTTTTGAGTGCTTGTTTATTATTCTTGTCGCCTTCATTAATTAATAAACACTTGAGTATTTACCATTTGTTGTGCAAATAATTTGCTTGAGCAAATGGGGCCAAAGTCGTTGTGTGTATATTTTATAAATTAAAAACATTTTTATATACAAAATTGAGGTAGGTTTATTGTCAGCATTTATTTAGATTCGCGTACATGTAGATTCAGCTGATTTACCAACACAGTTTTTTGAGTACAAATATAAACAGACCCAAAAAGATACCTAGTTTTCAAATGATAAGATTAATTCAATGCTTGCCAATTCACACTTATTAAACATAATATTTGCTACTATCAAATCAAGCTGAAGGTCTTTTTTATTGTAGCTGCTATTTTAGTTGGTCGTAATTTGCACTTAAGCTTAACTCTCACATAAATATGATAAATACAATGCTTGTCTAAATGAACAACCCATGTAACTTCAAAAAAAAATCAAAAATTATGTTTAACTCAAACAATCTGTGTAATAAAAACAAAAGCTCCAAGCTTACGCTGTTGAAATTACAAGAAATAATAAAAAGTTTGCCAGAACAAAACCGAAAAACTTTTCATTAAACAAGTCAGTTTGAAGTGTAACTTGTCTAAATAAAGGAAGAGCCAGCCCAAACTTGTAAAACAATACTCATTAAAGAACATATTAATTTGTGAGCGGCGTTGCAAGCATTTTGCGGTACATCAACTTTGATGGAAGTTCGTTTAAAACAATTAGAGATCCCTCTGTGGGGCACTCAAGGGAAATTATGGCAGCTACGAGTCAAAAATGAAAAACGCAGCATCAGAAGTTTGCCCAACTGGCACTAATAAGCGCTAATTTTGTTAGCCCAGAAACAGGAGCTGTAATAGAAGCTGCTACATCAGGCATTGCTGGCATGCCAAATTTGTTGGCTGACTAACTGATGGACAGATGGGCTGATGGTCTGTCTGATGGGCAGCGTTCAAGGAGCGCTGGACTTTGGAGGCGCTGCCCGGGCGATTTAACAAATTCAGTGCAGTCCAGACACTAATTCCATTCATTAAAAAACTTTTTATATGCCAATTTTTGCTGTTCTTCATGCCATTATGCAGTTATGCTGGCCAACGTCGCTCAAACTTTCAAGCAGCAGCTCGTCCTGCCAGTTCTGCGACAGGCTTCAGAGTTTTTTTTTTTTTTCAAAAACAAAGCATGCGGGCGAACAAAAAAAAATATTAAATATGATTACTTACTTTGTGCTGCTGTACATCATCAGTCACATAATGAAGTTGCAGCTGGTGAAAAATACTCGTAACTTCGTAACTTTCGAGTTTATGACTTGTCCGCGCATAAAGTGGATAGTACACAGGATGCGGATGAAGCTGAAACAGCTCGCAGTAGACAGCGGACAGGCGAGCAAATTAATTAAATTTCCCTTTAAGCTACGTGGTATGCTAAGCATTTCAGGGTTTCCCATCCATTCGCTTCTTGCCCGCGTTCAAAGTGTTGGTCTATTAGCGAAAATTGTTTGGCGGGAACTTGACATAAATGTTTATGACTCATGGCCAACAGACTTGGCCAACTTTAGAGTGGTATCAGAGCTACAAATTATGGGTGCTAATCAACGGGTGCTCGGTAAAAGTTGCCTATATTGCAGACGTAATTAATGCATTTATTATTATGCATTGATAATGAAAGCAGTTCAAAATAGCAATTGATTTTTGAGAAATTAAAACTGAAATTACACTTGACATAATGAGAAAACTTAAAATGAAAACAAGTTCAAGGATATAGAGAAGAGTTGAAACTATTCAATTTGAAAAAAAACTTGAATCAAATAAGAACTAATAAAAAACATTAATTTAAGTATATGACAGCCAAAACTAAAGTTCTATTAAATATTCTTTAATATCAATTTCAGGTTTGTTTAACTGTCTTATCTAATTACAAACTTTTTAGGGCTAGTAGAAACGTAATTTATTATACAGTATTTAAATAGAAATAAATATTAAATAGAATAATATTGTTCTGATTGCCTAATAATATACAAGAAAAGTTTCTACCAGTTACGTGTCACAAATAATTTATAATTGACTGAATATAAATAATTCATTCAACTTCAAGCTGAAGCATTTACTGTGAAATTTACAAGACCGCAAGAGTGCATAAAAATCCCAGCTGGTCATCGTCAGCTCAGTTCCTGTGGCGTAGAGTCTGACAATATTTTGCAGTACTTCAACTGCAACTCGAACCGCAGCCAGTCGAGAGGTTGCAAGAAGCGACAGGCAGGCCACAACGGAAATCGACGTGTAATAAATTTAAATTTATGTTGCCATTTAAAATAGCATAAAAAATTACTATAAATTTATAACCAACGCAGCCACAAAATGTGGTCAATGGAACAATAAAAGTGTGGCATATACGAGCTGAGTACTAACAAAAAATGACTCGATCCGAAATGGCTACATAAATAAATCAATTTAGACATGAAGTTAAAAACAAAAAGCAGAGAAAGAAAAAACAAAACACGAAAACTAGCCAAAAAAAAAAGTTGTAGTTGAGGCATTTAATTTTCACAGACTGTCAATTCGATTGAACTTCAATTTTCTATTCAATTTTGTTGTTGTTTTGGGGCAGAAAAATGGGAGCCCTAAGAAACGAAATTAGAACAATTGAATTGTAAATATCAGAGCACAGTGTAAAGCGTAGGAAAAACTGTGACAGGGCTAGAGAGAACGATAACGACAGCGACTTTGACCAAATTGCAAATGTTTGTCACGTATTTTACAAATTCACTGCGACGACAACCGTGTCTTTGTAGCTTGTATCCGTATCTATGCTTCTATACCCGTATACACGTAAGACGTGCATATGTATCCGTAAGTTTAGCTGCCCTACACACAAATGAACAGAAGCGAGGCGAGGCGAGCAGGGGTTCTTTGTGGCTACAAGTGTGTCGCAAGCCCCATCGATTG